AAAAAAAGAAAACAAAACTTAAGTTTTATGCATCACAGCTGCATTAAAAAATGCAGCAAATTGCGGCCGCTTAAATAAGCTGTTAGTCAGTTGGGTGTCTTATTTGACGTTTTGTTGCGCTTTTAACTTTATTTTTTTTTTGACGTTTTTTGCTCTTATTGCTTCATGCTTTTTGTTTTTTTTTTATTGAAAAGTGCATAGCATTGGGCGTAAAATTAATTTAAATTTAAACAAAATAAAAATGTTAAAGAAAACTTTCATGAAAAAGAAAAAAAAAAGAAATAAAATGAAATGTTAACAAACTAATAAAAAGAAAATTGTAAATAAGTGTGATAAATTGTTCAAATAAAGTTTTTGTGTGTAAATAGAAAAATGTGCAAATAGTAAAGAGCGCATGTATTCGAGTAATTTTGGGATGGAATACGACTGAAGGTTTCTTTTATTCGAAAAGAAGAGAGAATACCTTGAAGAAATAAATGCATAGATGCTGCCGACTATTTGCAAAATTTGCTATCTCAATCTCTTTTCATTTACTCAAGAGAAAAAAAGCTGGAACCAATTAATAAAACTGGTTCATAAAGCTTTCGGCGATAATATTTCTTATTACAATCGGGAATTATTTATTATTGTTCTACTAATAAATGCAACAATTCCAAAAATAGCATACTGCAATTTATGAAATATTTAGGATAAGGCGCATGAGGACAAGACCTTGTACTTTCTTACAAATATTGCCAATTTAACTTTTGTATCAAACTCTTAATAAATAACTTTTCTTAGTTTTTGCGTAGCAAACATTTTTGCCGTATTTTAAAACAATTTTTTTTTATTCTTTTGTATATGTGGAAATTTACACTGACAATTAATTTATGGCATGTAACAGTAATAAAATAAGTTGTAACGAATAATGGTATATATATTTTTTTTATATAAATAATTGATGATTTTTAACATGAATTTGGAATTTATTATGTATAAGAAGAAATAAAAATTAACATTTTAATTAAAAAGAATAATTAATTAAAAAGAACAAATTATGAAAACTGCCTTGTAATATGTTGGACTATTTTAATTATGTTTCTGATGCGTTTTATAAATATTTAAAGAATATCTAAAAATTCAAAAATTTATTTAAGTTCTTATTCTCTTTTCAGTGTTTCATCTTGTTTATGCAGATTTTACCAATGTTACAAAGTATGTGAGTTACAAAATGTAATTTGGGATCAAAGAATGCTGTTTCTTTCTGTATGTTTGTACGTGTAAATAAATAATTAGCATGGAATATGGAATTTAAATGTCGCTGCCATCATCTGTCAAAATTGTTGAGTTCAATTTGCTTCAGGAGGGAAAATAAAGCAAATTCAGGGAATCTTCATATAAAAAATACGATGTCACAGAAGAGCATAATAATCCACAGACTTCCTGAAGATAGTTTGTTAACTATCTTCAGGAAGTCTGTTATAGTTTTATGATAGCAATAACATAATCTGATAAAATTTTTTAATAATAATTTCAAAATAAATAATTAAAAACAAATTAATTTGGAAAATTATAATCGACATCCTTAAACTTAATCTACGTAAAAATTATAAAATTTTTATCGTCATGATTTATTGAACAAAGCAAGTTTTTGACAAGGATATTCGTCATGACCCAGAAGTAGATTCTATTATGACGTCGCCTCGTTATGACGTCTATGTCCATAAATGGGTTAAGGTAATTTTCATTATCGCGTCCAAAATATAATTACAAAAAAAAAAAAAATTATTTTAATTAGGTTTACCATATTATGGAGGATGATGGTTTGCATTCGTTAATGAACGTCGAATATAAACAATATTAATAGTGTCGATAATAACCATATATTTTACAACCTAGATAATTTTTGTTAATAACATTTTCTTTTTCTTAAAAATAAAGAACAAGAAAACACAAATATTTTATTACTGATAACAGTCTCAGTTCCTTTCATATTTTTTCAGTTCTCTTCATAAAAAAAAATTTTTTTTTTTTTTAATAAAATTTATTTTTTATTTTCTGTTAAAAAATTTATTCCGAAAAGGAAGAATGTGCCATTAATATTTATTTATTTTATTTATTTTTCTTTATTGTTTTTATTATTCTTGTTCTTTTTGAATATTGTTTATGTTACTTGAAATGAAATATTGCGTGCTTTCCGGCGCTAAAATTATATATGTATAAAAATATGAAATTATGTAAATTGAATTTTTTTTTCTTTGATTTGATGTTATTGGGTATGGTTAGACGTTTGTATGCATGTAGTTTGAATCTGATGAACCATATTTTTTTGCAATGGTATAAATATAAATTAATTCTTAATTGACAATATTTATTTGAATCATTTAAGTTAATCTTGTTCATATTTTCAACAATGCAATATATCGTAGCCATTCATTAATTCTAGTCGCTTACTTCTTATTGGCTAAGGTTTGGTAAGTAAGGTTTGGTGTAAAAAATTATGGGTTATAATAAATATGTTCTTGTTTTCTGCTTTAAATTTTTCTATCTAATTCAACTACAAATTCTGAAATAAGATCTAATTGCATATATTTAGTTACCTTTCAAATTATTTTCAATCCTCTCGAGGGTTTGTTCATGGTTCTGGTTCATATTTTTTTAATTTTTTTTGTCTTAATTCGTTCTTTTGCTGTTCTACAGTTTTATTGAATAATTTTCGATGATCATCTTCATGATTTTCTGAATTCAATAAAGGAATTTCCATTTTTCTTGGTCTGTAATTATAATTGCATCAGTGTTCAATAACTCAATTAATTTCAAATTACCTTTGCTTAAAACTATTTCAAATTTCTCATCAAATTAATTAAATCTCTCACCTATAAAAGCTTCTTAAGCGCGTTATATTTAACTTTCAAATAATTAATATTATTTTCATAAATAGAAATATTTGAAAAAATATGATTGTCCCATGTTATAATCGTTAATAAAGTACATAAATTTTTTCCATATCCATTTTTAATGTGTTCTTCTTGCTGTTTCCCTTAAATAAAATTTAACATTATAAGTTATTTTTTTTTTTGGAGAAAAATTTTTTTAAAGAAAAATTTATTACCCAATGTTTCTTATCCTTTTCATTTCAAGTAGAGTTATTAAAATAATTCTTTGCCATAAAATTGTTTTTCCTTTTATATTTTTTAGTTATTTTTTTATTGCTGCTCTTGTTGCCATTCTTGTTGTTTATTACCTTTGCTACAACATTCTTTCATCAAAGCAAATTATTTTTTCTTGATTGTAAGAGGAAAATTATTATTTCCCTTTATATACCATTTTTCCATCCATTTTATAAAGTATTGTTTTATATTGTATATGGATAGTGTATAGCGTGCACATTATAATGGCTGTGGTTCCCTCATCTCGTGGTAAGTAACCATCTATCAATCTAGGGAAGTAAAACAAAAAAAAATAAAAACATTATTTTTTTTTTTATGTTTATTGTAAATTACTCACATTTTTTATATTTTTATTAGGGTCATAAGGTTTTTCTAACCAATTCATATTCATAATTTTACCATCCTTTTTCAACTAATTTTCTGTCTTTTTTATACGTTTTTCATACGTATACGAGTATATGGCTAGGCGACTTATGTATATGCCCTATTCCATTTTATAATATGTTCGGTTGCACGTATCCATGCGAATTAAATTTGCACAGTATGACACAAAATAATTCGGACACTTGTAAAATAAAAAGATTTATTTCTTAAAAATGTTAATAGGAACAAGTATTCCTAATTGAGTATTAAAAATTTTCGGAGCTTTTCATGTAAAGATTTTCTATAGTAAAGTATTTAGAATTTTCTTGTCTACACACAAGTTATTTGAATGTGTTTTTCCTTTTCAAAGAAAACCTTTTTTACATAAATGATTTGTCAATTGTTTTTAATGAAAAAATTCATTATATAATAACCTTAAACAAATATAAACAATAATAATTAACCAGTTAACTAATTTATAATAAACAGAATTTTTAAATTTCAATAAAACTTTTGAAAATATTTTGAACAAAAACACAAATTTTCGTGATTATAAAAAATTTTTGCCATATTAAAATCGAAAGAATAAATATTTAGAGAAGAAAAATCTGTTGATAATAATTAACCTCTAAAATAAATTTAATTGCTTAAAATATGACTGTTAATATTTTTGTTCTGGTCCCCAAATACACTAAGTTGCTAGTAGAATTTACAAGAAAATATATTTCTCGTATCTTTTTTCTCCCATATTATTAAAATACATAAGCAATATTTTGAAAGCACTTAAAGTTGTGGAAGGCATACTTTTCCAGATTAATATTTAGGAAAATCCTTTTTGTTGGAACGGGTCGGAACCCCAATACCACTTCTGATTTCGACTGATATCGTCATTTATATGAGAGATGTAGCATGTAGCCCTGGTAGCATCGAAAAGTCTCCTTTCCTTCTTACTAATAATTCCAAACGGCCCCAAGCGGCATATTCCTCAAATTTTTTTCATCTTACTATTGATTAGAATCCCGGAATTCTTTAGTGTTAAAAGAGTTTCGTAGTTAATTATTGCTCAAATATAAAATTAATATCATAAAATGCAATTACGGTAGAGATTCAAATTTTATAAAAATTAGCAACACTTGTATAAAATATAAAATATTTTCTAAAATCACTTAAAAAATATTTGTAGATTATTTTAACCAATCTATAAAATTTTTGCTAATATTATATCTAGTTAGAATTTATTATGAAAATATTCTATTTCAGATCTAATTTCTGCGTACTTGAAGTTAGAAATAAAATATTTCTTACTAAGAAAATTGTACAATAACAAATATTTGAACTTCACTTTTAAATTTATTTAAGTTTTTTTTAATCAAAATTTTACTAAAACATTTATTTTCTAGCATCTGTACAAATATCAAACAAATTGATTTATTTTTATTTTCTTCTGCTATAAAAGAGCCCAGAAATTATTTGAGTTTCTTATAAGTTCTCAATATTTAGGCGAAATTAAATCAGAATTTACAATGAAGAATTTAATTAGCTTATTAGCAGTTCTGTTCTTAGCATCAGTTGAAGCTTCAAAAAGTGATTTGAAAATAATAATTACATAATTAAAAAATATTTTTCTAAACAGTTTCTCTTTAATTTTTAGTTAATTTTTGCTATTATCCTGAATACGCCTATTACAGTGTAAAACCGGCTAATACTAAAGTTGAATACTGTACACATGTTGGTTATTCATTCTTTGCATTGAAACCAGATGGTACATGTTACTTGCTATATCCGGAAGAAGATAGTAAGTACATACACATGCATATGATATTTTTAATCATGTAATTAATTTGTTGACTTGCTGTAAAGTAAATTAATTTTATTACGTTTTTATTTAGATATTGTAAAAGAACTTATAGCAAGAAAAAGTGCAAGTACTAAAATATGTCCAGTAATTGGTGGCGGCGGTAGGTCAGATTCATTTGGAGCAGTTGCTTCTAATCCAGCCGCTCGTCAAAAATTAGTACAAACATGTGGCGCTTTAATGAGACAATATGGTTTTGACAATTGCTTCGATGTAGATTGGGAATTCCCACTTTCAAATGAACGTGATGCATTTATTTCATTATTGAAAGATATTAAAAGGTAAAGAAACTAGTAGAAATATTTTCAAAAATTGCATTACTTATTCAGTTTGTATATTATAGTGGTATGAACGGAGTCGAACTCTTTGCAGCTGTATCTGCTGGTGCATGGCAAGCAGATATATCATACAACGTTGCAGCTTTAGCTGCTACTGTGAACTATATAAATTTAATGACATACGATTATCATGGTGGTTGGGAATCTACAACTGGAATGAATTCAGCTTTGTCAGGACCACCTGGTGATGGCTTAAACGTTCAGGCATCAGTTCAATATTTCATTTCAAAAGGAGCTCCAGCAAATAAATTACTTATAGGAGTACCTTTCTATGAAAGATCATATACCCTTACGTCAGGTTCAACTTCTGTTGGTTCACCAAGTAGTGGTGGCAACCCAATTTTATATAACGAATTCTGTAAAGATAAATCATATTCAATAATACGTGATCCTGTGTATCAAGCTGCATATGCTGTTAAGGGTAACACATGGGTATCTATTGAAGACCCAATTAGTATTGCAGCAAAAGCAAAGTATGTAAATGAAAACGGATTAGCTGGAATAATAATCTGGTCATTGCAACAAGATGATACAACGGGAGCATGTGGAGGTGGTTCATGGCCACTTTTAACTGCCGTATACAATGGATTGAATGGGGGAAGTAGTCCAGCCCCAGGACCACGTCCACCAGCACCTGGACCTGCACCAGCACCAGCACCAGCACCAGCACCTGGACCTCCACCAGCACCAGCACCTGCTCCAGCACCGGCACCCGCCCCTGGTCCAGCTCCAGCACCCGGTCAACCGTTTAAATGCCCTCCGAATCATACAGGATACCAAGTAGACAATAACGATTGCACAAGTTATCATTATTGTTCTGGTGGTATAGATATGGGAACACAACATTGCCCTAATGGATTAAAATTCGTTTTATATCCAAATGGTAATTTTGATTGTGCAAGAAATTCTCCATATTGTTAAATATTGAAATTTCTATCTTGTATAAATTTTGTACTTTAGTAGTGGTGCAAAAAAATGTTTTTTTTTAAAAATAAAGTGTTTATTTACGAAAGAAAATTAGCCGGTTTGTAATTTACGAATTTTGTTTTACAAATAAATAAACTTGAAATTTGTATTACTTGTATTTTTGCACAGAATATTATAATAACGAAAATACTGATGTACAGCAATTACAATACTCTTATTACTTCTTTTTTCAATAAAGACTCCTTTTGAAAGAAAATTCATGTTTATACTTCCGTAGAACTTTCAGAAAATGAAATATTCTTAGGTTGAAAATTTCAATTTTTATTTATTTAGTCTGAGGCAAAAGTTTTATTTCAATATTTGTCTCAAAACAATATAAAGCGATTTAAGATAATAAAAATTGATATTTGCGTGAATACTTGACTTCTGTGTTGGTAAAATTTTTTATCCGAAAAAAAGTTTTTTCCCCGGACTATGTAAGAATGTAGAAATAATTCTCCTACTTGCTGATTTTGTGGATTTAAATAGGCAGTTAACAAACGTCATTCGAAAAAAAAAAATTTTACAAAAATAAAGGAACAATCATTCCCTTCCTTATTCTCCAGCTTATTGACGTTGCAATTTTATGCATTCACATTAATTACAATACTTGTGCCAAAATTGATTGAGGTTAATTAATAAAGCGTGGAAAATAATTTAAATCTTTTATATTTAAAAATCGGTCACAGTTGTTTAAATACTAATTAGTTTATCAAAATGAAGTTATGCAGATACCTATATAAAGCATACCGGAATGCAAGTTATCAGTTATAGACAATCATCATGATGAAGGTTTTTTTGATTGCCATGTTCAGTTACATGTCATCATGTGAAGCACAAAGTAAGTTGGAACATACATAAATACAAGTAAATTAACATTTTAAGTTTGATTTTTGTTAAGGAATTTAAATATTTAATAATTAAATAATTTAAATACTTTTTACTTACACCTCATTTGTTTTTAAATTTAGTTAACTTTTGTTACTATCCCGATTATGCATCGAATGTAGTTCCACCGTCCCAAATTAAATCAGAATATTGTAGCCATATTGGTTATTCTTTTTTTGAAGTCGGATCAGATGGAACATGCTATCTTCTAAACCCTGGTTGGGAGAGTGGTCAGTTACTTAATGCTTAGAACTATTATCCGCAATTCAAATGTTTGATTAAGTAATAAGTTTTTAATGTACTGTATTTTAGGTATTATAAACGAACTTGTAGCTAGTAAGAGTCCTAATACTAAAGTTTGCCCTGTAATTGGTGGTAATGGTCGATCATGGACATTTAGTGCTGTTGCTTCAAATCCAGCAGCTAGATCTCAACTTGTTCAAACATGTAGCGCCTTAATGAATCAATATGGATTTGATAATTGCTTTAATGTCGATTGGGAATTTCCAGACACCAGCGATCGTGATGCGTTTGTTTCTTTGCTACAAGACATTAAGAAGTATGTGAACTCAAAAATTTTGCTAAAATTAAGTATACTTACATATGTTATGTAAATAATTGTTTTTTTTTTTTCTATTTCTCTTTAGCGGTATTGCGGGAGTTGAACTCTTTGTTGCAGTATCTGCGGGAATTTGGCAATCCGATATATCTTATAATATACCAGCAATTTCTTCAGTATGCGATTACATAAATTTAATGACATACGATTATCATGGTAGTTGGGAATCTGTTACAGGTATGAATGCTCCCTTAACAGGTCCACCTGGAGATCAGCTAAATATTGTGGCTACAGTTAATTATTACTTATCTAAAGGTGCTCCAGCTAATAAGTTAGTTGTTGGTATACCATTCTATGGCAGAACATTTTTCTTAATAACATCGAACACTAATGTCGGTGCACCAAGTTCTGGTGGCGATACCTTGGAATATTCCAATTTTTGTATAGATCCATCGTGGGTTGTAACACGTGATAATACATATCAAGTTCCATATGCCGTTAAAGGTAATACATGGTTATCGTTTGATGATGCAATAAGTATTGCCACAAAAACTCAATACGTGAATCAAAATGGCTTGGCTGGTACACTTATTTGGTCGTTACAACAGGATGATACAACTGGAGCGTGTGGTGGGGGTGAATGGCCACTTTTGACTGCTGTATATAACGGATTGCATTAGTGATAAAAATATAGGAATGTTTAATAATTTCCTATTTACACAGGTCGATTTATTTTCTTATAATAAGATTTTTCAACTAAAAATTTATAAAATTTGTTAAAAAAAAATTGTATTAAACTAAGGTTTCTAATTAAATTAATTTAATTTCTGTAAAATTTCTAAAACAATTTTGCAGTTACTCTAAATTGTCACATATTCTTGCAAAGCACACTGAAACATATGTTTCAAGTGTCAAAATTGATTGAAGTAAACAAAATGTACTTACATATATATATATAAATATAAAGTAATTTGATTTACTAAAACCAAATGCAACTGTTTAAACATTTTTGTACTATAAAAGCAGCAGATATAAAAGCAAGTGAGTTCAGATAACCAATTGCAGTATTAAAAACCCTTACAATAAATTCTTTGTTACTTTTTATTGTGTTACCAATTTATTAGTTCTGTTTTTCAATTAAAAGTGCTATTTTATTTAAGAAAAAAGTTTTGTTTCTAAATACAAATTGAAATTTTATTTTATTGAAAAATATTTTTTATACACCCCCTTTTGAATCAATAGTTCTCAATAATAAAACAGTAAATCTCAATTTTCATATTGATATTTAATAACGTTTTCGACTTATAAGCATTACCAAACTTCTACGAAATCAGAATTAAAAATTAATTGCATGTTCACACAAAAATTATAGTCATACGCCTAAACGTATGCAAAAAGTTCATAACATTTTCAGTAAAACTTCATTTGAAATTCACAAAAAAATTTAATACTTTACTAATTCCACGTAATAATTCTAATTTTAGTTTTAAAATTTAGGGTTTTAATAAAATTTCTGAAATACAAAACGATTTGACATGACACAAGACACATGGTAACATTATTTCTCAGACAAACATTAAAACAGACGCAAATATTCATTAGTGAAGAGTATATTATTGATAGATTTATTCATTTGTTTGAACAAAGACAAATAAAGCTACTGAAAATTTGGTAAATAAATTTATACAAATAAAATATTAACAATTTGTTTTAATACAAGTATTTAAACATAATTATTTACATACATATATTAAAAAAAATAAATATTTCCAAAAGAAATTCATAGCAATTATAATATTTTAATCGACTTTAACGACAATTTCATATTAAGAAATCAACTACGATTAACTGTCCTTACTAACAATGCGACCTTGAGAATTAAACCCTTATGCACATTATAAACTGACTTACGATATTATAAAACTGTGACAGATTTAGAATCACACTTAAACCAACAACGAGAAAGGACCTCTTTTTCTAAAATTTCATTCTTTTAAGATGTCTCACAAAATGATTTAAATAAAGAAATAAAGCAAAATGATTTAAATTATTTTCTTAAACAAGCAATCTTTCCATTTTGGCTGAATTAGAAGTAAAACATATGACGACGAGGTATTGCAATTTTTGATTTTGCCAATACATGGCAATGCTTTTTGCTCATAGGCATAAATATTATTAGCGCTTTCTATGGGTATAAGTTAAAAAAAATTAATTTTTCATTAACACCCTATCGATAACGTGCTTAATAAGTAACTTAGAAAGTACTAACGTATCTTAAGACGTAACAAAAGTTATTATTTTGAATAAAATCTCTAACAACTGTTCAAATAATTACATACGGAGTATTATGGGGAAAAATTAAACAAAAATTATCGTAAAACAAACCATGAAAATGTTAAAGCGGTCTCAAAAAATTTTTAGTCATAAAGTATAGTGCCCGAGAGCCGTTTCTCAAGACAGAACACTATTTCAAATACGGCTTGATTTTAAAATGAGATTCTTATTGTTGGTATTATTGGTGTTTGTAGTAGCGAATCTCGATGCATATAGTAAGTTGTAAAAAAAAATATTTAATAAAGAATATATTAGTGAAGCTAAAGTTTGTAAAAATAAAATCATAATTTTTTTATTTGAACTTTTACAGTTGTGAGACGTAAATTCACACCAGGAGAACCTTTTAAGTGCCCTCCCAATTTAACCGGATACCATGTAGATAATCAAAGATGTTCCGATTTTCATTATTGCTTATATGGTGAAGATACTGGTTTATCAACTTGCCCGCCAGGTAAAAAATTCAATAGATTACCCGATGGTACCGTTAATTGTGCAGAAAAATCAAGTGTATGTCCGTAAACAAAATAAGATCGAAAAATAATATGTTTCATTAATTTTAATAAATTATATTTTAATCAAATATCAGGTATTATAAAGTGTTTCTAACTATATTGTATATTATGTATTAATCACAAAAATGACTAAAATAAAAATTAATTATCATAATTGAATTAAAGTATTTATCCTATAAAATGTAGATTATAGAAAAAAGTTTTATAAACTATTTTTTGTCATTAAAGGTACGTATTTTTAGAGATTTACTCGGAGTTATCCGAAATTATGCATTTTGTTAATTTATTTATCGTCTAACACGTATCTTGCTACCATACAATTCAAATCATTTACTAATTAGAAAAAAATGTTTGTTTGCTGATCTACTAGTTTCATTCTAGCATGTCCAACGATTCCAAATTTGTACTTGAATATTTGATATATATATTAACAAAAATTGGGTCTTGTGATGGAAGATTTTTTCTAAGTACCGATCTTTTTAAAATTATTTGCGAATCAAACTGTTCTCTAGAACGTGTTTTTAAGAACTTCTTTTTTTCAAGAAACAAAAACTCTCTAAAATTATTCTTTATAACAATTCCTTGGCTTAGAACTTACTTAGTACTAAATATGTGTAGTATGTTTGGTAATAAAGTACTGCATATGCTGTCAAAAAAATTGTTTTTAATAATACAATACTATTTTTGTAGTTTGTTTTATAACTACAACTGCAACTTATGGTTATAAGCGTAACAACACAGTTTCGATTTTTTACTGCTGCGGAAACTATGTATTCACTTAATAAAAGTCATGTCGGATTTAAAGAATTTGAATAAGTTTCTTTTAAATTTTTTTATAATTTTAATGAAAAATTTAAATTTATATTTCAGTGAACTGGAAATAAAATATTTAATTTTGTGGTTTCTTTTTTGAGGCTTTAAAAAAAAATTTCACAATCTCAGAACTTTCACAAGTAAAACTTTACGTATGTAAGCGTGTACATAAATACTTCATGTTTTAATTTAAAATTATAAACTTAAGAATTAATTAAATTTTTTAATAATAGAAAATATAATACAAAAAATAATAGAAATAAATCGCAATATAATGGTCATACTATTAACAAGTAATAATGAGTAGTTGTAAAAAGGAAATTCATAATTCTAAACTTTAATTGAATCGCTATAATTGAATGGCAAATTAGGCATTGTTTTCTTTATGCTTATAAGAATTAAGATAACATGATATTGAAAACGGAATTTACTTTTACTCACAATGGCCGAATGGTAAGATAATTTTTTAATTAATATTTTATTATTAGATGAGAAGATAATGAAATAATTAAAGAAATAAATATTCGGGCTAAATATAGAATCTGTATGAGTACATTATCAATTTTAAACAATCTTATTATTCTTGAATGGGTCAACTACTTATAACTTGTGGAAAGATGTCTCATCCGATTTATGAATTTCTTTTAGCCAAAAAAATGCGCTATCCTTCGAAAATCTATATTTTCGAAGTTTATCACTTTAAGGAGACTCTTCAGAAATTAAATAATGAAACTAAAAAAATAGCCTATCTTTAATAAGAAAAATTTTTTACTCATTTAAAGGTAAGGTTTTCTTAATTTGAACTTAAACTCTTCTGGATCTGTATACTTTAAAAATCTTAATACTTCAGTGTGATCAAACTAATATTTTTCCTTTTTTATACAAAAAATTAATTGCGTTTGAAAATTTGTTTAATAAATATCAGTCATTTTTGGTAAATTTAAATATTGTTTTCAAAATTTATTTCAAAAAATTAAAAAATAATATAAAATACAAAACAGATCTAGAAATATAATTCATCTTAGCCATATAATATGAGGCCAAATATCTCTTATGTGATTGAACTTGAATACTATTTATACCTTTTTTGATATTACTGCATTGTCCTTGTAAAAATATTTCATGAAAGTAACCAAAGTTGTTAAATTATCGACTGTAATTGAGTTATAAAGTGCTACCCTAATACCACCAACAGTCATATGACCATTTAATTGTATCATTCCTTGGGTTTTTGCTTCCTCCAAAAATTTATTCTCTAAATCAACATTACCTTTTTTAGAACCAATTCGAAATGGCACAGTTGTATTTGATCGATATTGTTTATCTGCTATGCAGAAATAAAAATCTGAGAACTCATCAATTGCATCATAAAGAATTTTACGTTTTTGTTCATTAGTTGAACGCATCGCATTTATTCCACCCTGTTTTTTAATCCATTCTAGTATTCCATGAAAAATATATATGGAAAATATTGGTGGTGTATTGTAGTTCGAATTCCATTTTGACAAAACTTCAAAATTTAAAAATGATGGAGTCTTTAACATTGCATAACCAATAAGATCTTCTCTTACAATAGTTACTGTTACACCAGCTGTACCATTTCCTTTATGTACTGCAGCAAATACTACTCCAAATTTGGAAAAATCGATTTTTTTTGAAAAGAAATTGGATGACATATCACATACCAAGGGAATATTATTAGTACGTGGTATAAAATCGAATTCAACGCCATCAACAGTTTCATTATCACAATAGTATACAAAAGATGCATTGGGATCTAATTTCCATGTACTTTCTGGTGGAATTGTTGTATATGAACTGGTCTTTGGAACAACTAAAATTAAATTAAATGCAAAAATTAAATAAATTTATTAATAGAAATTTTCTATGAGCAATAACATTAAAGATATTTTAATTTTAGGAGTCTACAAACCAATTTATATATGTGAACAAACATAATTGACCAATGCATATTATATACAATTAAAACCTCATGAATTCTGATTTTTAAAACAAGTTTCTTGAATTGTAGGAACACGGTATGGGCGATTGTATAAGGAATTTATTGAATACGATACCAGTTTTTATATCATTCCAAATTTTAGTTTTAATTTGAATGATAAGTTTTCAAACCTTAACTATTTTTAAATATTCAACAGAATTTATCATAAATAACTGAAAGAGTCCACACAGCATACATACATCAGTTTTACGTAAAGTTTCTTTGTACACCTCAAAGCTCTTAAACATGGGAAACACATAAAATAGAATATTTCGAAACAAAAGCTTGCATGTTTGTTTTGTTTCAATCGTTCCAATACATAAACATTCATATATGTAGCTAAGCTAACTCAAAATTTATGTTTTCTTCTATTTGTGTAATATCAAATCTTACCGTAATTTACAATTCCAAAATTTTTGGCTTCTTCTGCTGCCCTTTGAGACCAAAAACCAGTTACGATATAATCTGCAATACCTGTTTTACCCATTAAATTTAGACAAACTCCTGAGAACATACCATTTCCACCTCCTTGAGTTAATAATATTTTGAAATTTTTTGGAATATCAAAAATTTCTCTTATATTATCTATTGTTGATTGATGTAGATCAATATATGGTTGACTACGATGAGAAATTTCTGTAATACTCATTCCAGTTCCATTGAAATCTAATAAATTTTTTTGAGTTTCAAGGAGAACTTCTTCGGGTATTTTAGCTGGACCAGTTCCAAAATTTATAACCATTTTAATATTTTCTTTTAGTTTCTTAGAAAAATTTGTTTAATATTTTATAGAAAGAGCAACAAAATGAACGAGTTGCAAGTAATGAAATCAACGAAATACTCTCAAAATGAAATTCTACTTGCTTTTATTGAAAAGCTTTTTCTTTTCTTTTTTTGTCATTACTCATTAGTATATAATTGTTTACCTTTCATATAAGCTTTTATGCTTTAATCACACTTTTCTGTGATAACAAAACAAAAGAATTATTATCAAAATTAAATTTTTTAATAATTTATTCATTCAATTCCCAAATTATGGCAAATAAAGTACCTACTTATATCCACCAACATTTCTAATTAAAGTCTGTGTTCATATACACTATATCTGTAGAAAGTTTAGAATACACATTTATGTGTAGAGCTTGCAGATCAGATAATATTTTGAAAATGTAAAGCTTTTCACCGCATTAATGATCCTAATAATTAAAAAATTTCCGAAAATCTTTTTTATTTTAACACATTGTGTCGTTATTGTTTAAGTGTAGGTTACTGGGAATTACTTTAGAGAGTTAGGAGTGTTATATAAAGTTAAATTGAATCCAAACCTTGTATTAAAATCATAAAGTTTTTTAAACCACAATGTTTTTACTATATTACAATGTGACTTATTATATAATCCGATTTTCGTATTCGGATTGGTACTTCCTTACCAGTTCTTTGAATACGAAAATCGTTTCACGAAAATCGAATTACATTGTAAGGGGACAAATGTCTTCTTTATTGGCTCAATATATTTCTACTTTTTTTATATTAAAAATATTTCCAACAACAAAAAATCCGCGGACGTACTTCTGTATTATGTTCGTATTTTAAAATATTTTGATTTTAATTGAATAATTTTTTCTTTGACTTTTGAAATAGAGAAAAAAAAATATGCTAAAATGGAAGGGGAGGAACGACATGAAATACATTTGTTTTGGTACAGAGTACTTGATATTTCGCTGCTTACAATTTATCAGTGTTATTGCACCCCATACAATTGTATAAAGAGCGCCAGTATGTTTTTTTAAATTACAAAAATGTTGCAAAATGCTAACGCCCAAAATCGTGATTAAGTTTCTATGAAATATTTAATGGTGTTTAATGAGAGTCGTAGAAGATTATGAAATTTAAAACAAGAGCTCTTGATATTTTTAAAAATTTTTGCAGAATCATAAATTTAAATGTACTTCAACCTATCAGAATAACTTAAAGTTCAAAACGCCTTCGTCTAGTGTGTATATTATGCATAATTGGTAAAAATAGAAATTTCAAATAATTGAAGGCAAGTAACATTGAAAAAAAGAGAGAAAAGGAGAGAGAGAAATTAGATAATTTAAATTCATTAAAATATTGACACTTAATCATGATTCTATTTTAAAATAACTGATGATTGACGAAACCGTTGTAAACTTGCAAGAAAAAATAAGTAACGTTCAAGTGATGTTGTTAAAAAAAGGGTATGTAATTCAATTTTTAATTTTGATTTTTTCGCAGTTACATTATTTCCAAAATTCTATTGTGCTCAAATATGTGTATATAAGAACTTGCGACAAAGCAAATTACATTAGCGCATGACAGTGTCAAATATGGAAAACAAAAAAATGAAATTCAAAGGTTTATGCCTTTACTATATTTTGATTTTGTATTTGTTTTTCTTGCTTTCGTAATCACATCTGTTAAATTAACAAGATATCGTAAAAAAGCTTTGGAAAAAATTGAGTCGATAATGTTGTTAGTTTTTTTTAGTAGATTTGGTTCTCGTTAATTTTCAAAAGCATTCAAAAGCTTGCTCATACGTTCACGTTACGAAATTATCGTTATCAAAGTTACTTAAATCGTTTAATTTGCAATTTCCAATACAAAAATAATAATATCGTAAAAACAAATCAAAGAATTAAATCACTAATTACAGCTTTTTCATTATAGATAGCGCTGTTTTCTTTTTTCTGGTAATTATCACACTGAAATCTAGGAAACTTATTGATATAGCTTATATTATTCACAACAGAATTTTTATAAATATTGTGATTCGAATCTTAGATAATTTTCTGTAGAGAATTTTCGGTTTGCTAGCGGTAAAATATTACTAAGCGTTAAATTATGCATTTAGTGTTAAAAAAAATTTAACAAAAATATTTTGAAAGAAGTATGGTACGAGATTTTGAGTTTTTAGGATTCACATTAAATTTATCATAGACATATCAAGGAGTGTTGAACGCATGTTTCATGAAATTTTTCATTTGGTTCAGTTAAAAAATATCATAATTCTCTTATAGGAACAATTACTAGTTTAGTTACTTTGAAAAAAATGAATAATGTAATACACGTTCAAACTTTTAAATATTAATTATTTACAGAAATTTAAGGTTATAATTATGTATGTATCTATATTAATATAAGTACATATGCATATAATTAAATACCAAAAGAATCACTAACTCATATAAATAACGTATTCTTACGCATTATATAAAAAAGACTTGTAGAAAAGATATGAAAGATGTCTGAATAACATCAACACCACAATGTAACAAGTCTAACTAACCATATTATGTAATATATTATCAAATAGCCATTCATATAATATCCATATTATCAAATAGCCATTCATATAATAAATTAATAAAATACTAAGGGAGTGAGTTCAAGTACGAGCACTTTTTAATCATATCACAAATACTCACCGTAATTGCAAAAAAAAAATATTAAAATGAAATTTCAATGGAATTCAACAATACAACGAAGTTAGGGCGAGAAAAAAATTGAGAAGACAAAGTTACAGGGATAAAATCCAAAAAATGTAATTAATAATTTGTTGCTGCAAAATACAAAAAGAAAAGAGAAAAAACAAAAAAAAAAACGGCAAAAACAAAAAGTAATCAAAACAAAATGAGCGCATAATCTTTAGTACTCGTAATTGTTTAGATTTCAATTCTTTTCAACTCAACTAGTTTTTTTTTATATGCTCAAACAAAATAAAATATTTTCAGAGAGATTTTCTTTTCCGTTTTCCTTTTCTCGCTATTTATTTCTTGTTCCGTTTTTTTAAATATAACATGTGCTCTTGTTGGTACGCATAATACGGCGTGTATCAGTACTTAGACAATTGGTATTCATAATTTATACTCACATATAAATAATATAAAACCACCATCACCAGCAGTACCACCTGTTGAGTAAAAATATAATTTTTTTTTACGTTTGTTTATATTTTCATTATAGTTTTTTTTTTTAATTTTTTAACCTTTTTTTCAATAAATTATTTATTTTTTCCGCCAGTATTCATACTTTTTTTTGTTTACACAGGAATAACTGTACATAGAGGGAGTCTAACATTAGAAATAAACAGGAAAATATAATTATTATTAGAGGATAGAGAGAAAATACTTGTATAAAGTATATAAAAATGGTAACATTCACCTGAAATCCTTTGTTTAATAATTTTTCAAGGATATTCGTAGAACAAAAATAGCTTTTATATAAAAACAAAAAATTGAAAACAACCTGCGAGGTGTGATATAGCAGAAAGAGTAACTAGAATATTTACCATTTAGGGAACGATCTTAACAATGTTTTTTAAAAAAATTTTACAAAAATAGAAAAAATTTAAAGTTTTCTTTAAATTTGAGTTTTATTATTTTATAATATTAAATTTAAAAAATGTTTGTATTTTTTATGACGATTGTGAATAGATTTTCTCAAACACTCGAAAGAAAAATAGACAATTTTAAATCAGTATCATACGAGAATTATATAAAAGGCTTATCGGCAACTAAAGGA